AACTTAACAACATGCATTCCGGTGGAAGTGGTTTTCCTGTCGCCAAATACAACTTTGTTAATCCAACCAATGGATCAAGGCATAATATCAAATTTTAAAGCTTATTATCTGTGGCAGACATTCCGAAAACTGATTGATAAAACTGATGGAGTAGATAAACAATCCATTAGAAATTTTTGGAAAAACTACAATATCATGGATACTTTAGACAACATCAACCTTTCCTGGAATGAGATGACCAAGAAATGTTTGAAAGGGGTATGGAAGAATGTATGGCTGGAGCTAAGCAAGGATGTTGACACAAGAGAATCCATTGTTGATGTCAATGAAATTGTCAAGCTAGCTAATGAAAAAGGATTGGATAATATAAATGCGCAAGATAGTGAAGAATTATTGCAAGTTACAAAGGTGAAAGTTTTTCCAGTGACAATCTTAAAGAATTCGTAGAATAGCAGATGCACGAAGATGACGAAATTAGTATTTCTGAAGATGAGGAGCAAAAGGAACTTTCAATGGATTTTCTAAAAAAAGATTAGCTATTATAATGGAAATTATGGATCAGTTTATACAAAATGATTTAAATTTTGATAGAAGTTCAAAGGCAAGACGAAGTGTCATGAATGAGATGTCCTGCTATTGACAACTGTTTGCTGAACGAAACAGGAAAAGGCAAACTATATTAGATGACTTCTTCACAAGAAAACAAAAGATGTCAAATGAGGAAGAACCTTTCTCATCACAAAGAACTTCTTTACTTGAACTTTTTTTGATTTTCATATAAATATCGATATTAGCAATAAATAAGTCTATAATTAATGTAATAAAAAGTATTTAACAATAAATGTTACAAAGTAAACAAAAAAAAACTGATAAATTTTTTAAATTCTCTGTTCTGTTTCACTTATCCCCATTATTTACATGTTAAGATGACCTCATCTAACGCTGTTTCATTTAGTGCTCAAACTTATTGGAATATATCCCCCCATGTTAAGTGGGGTCTTACTGTATTTGTATAAGTATTGTTTGTATTTTTTTACAATATGTTTTAAAAAAAATTGTTTTGTTTATTCCACATATCACATAGAATGTCTCCTCCAGTTAATGTTGGCTTTTAATACCAAAATGTGACTTTTCCAATTCCAATCGAAAGTTGTAATGGCAGTCATATATTTTATTTGGTTACTTGGTTTAATGTGATTTTAAGATATTGTACATGATAATAAGATTTAAATAAAGCATGATTTTTGAATTATGTAAAAACTTTTCCCATTTTTATAATTCAAATAATAATAATTCAATATCTAACAAACCATAACACTCCAGCAAAACTTTGGTTAATTAGTAATGTTATTTGTTTGTTTAATTACTAATTTTTTCAACCTTTAAACAAGATCAATCAACAAAATCATATAAACATCAACAGCAATGTAAATCAAATCCCGTGAAACCCAATGGCCAATCAAATAGAATATTATGACCAGTTTGGCAATTCTTGGTTGGAATTGTAAAAGTTGCAACTGAAACTACATAAAATGCATATATCTCAATAAAATATATTTTGCTGAACATTTATAATGTCAATTTTGCATCTGTGTTCAAAAAATCCAGCAATGAGTTGCTTAACTTGCCCAGCAACATTTGGTGGCACTTTTATATTTTATTAAAAATTTTTTATATTTTTAATTATTATAAAATGGCAAAAAACTTAATTTTGAGGGTAGGGATGGGTTTTAAAAAACTATAAATGCTATTAATAAGTAAAATCATCATTAATCATCATTACTTGAGATATGATACATGATTCCCCTTTCTCTCTCCACCCCCTCGACCTTTAACCACAAAAATTTAATAGCATTAATATCTCTAATACACAAATCTCACTGCAAAATTTCAGAAATTTTTGACAAAAAGCACAGAAGTTATTAAAAGCTTCAAAGAGGCTTTCATGCTCCACACAAACATCTATATATACAGAAAAACCCCAAAATTATTTTTGCATTTCTTGATATTTTAAGGTTCCAAGTCCAAAAATGTAAAAATTGGGACTGGGTCAGTTTTTGACCAATTGCCTCATTTTCCCTCTGTTATATATATAACAAACATTTTTAACAAAATGTAAGGGAAGTCTCAAATTACATTCTCAAAATACATTTTGTAAAATGTTGGAGTCATGTGTAGATATTTGAAAAGTATCAACAAATGTAATGTTTATGGTATGGTACACAAAAATACTTGTTATTGCATACAAACAGCTGTTTGTTAACAATTGTATAGTTTGGTAATGAGAAACAATATATTTTAAGCATTTTACATATAACTGGTTCTCATATAAAAAACATTTTATTATATTTTGGAAAATTGGTAGGGGCTTTGGATTGGCATTATAATACATCATAATTCTTCCCATTTAAAATAATGAAAAATAGACTCTTGTTTAATATTTTTAAGCAGAATGTACTATTTTCAGAAAGGGATTAACTATATACAGATGTATCTTGCTTACGAATAATAATTTTTGAACAACATGCAGATCATGTAATATATATATACACACACAAGCCACTGAATTGCCAAATTAATTAACTCCACAAAACAAAAAGAGAAATTGATAATATACATAATTTTTAAAAATTCATTCAACAATTACAAAAATACATTACAGGTTATTCGAAAAATGTAAAAATAAGCAAAAATTATTGTGCCATTGTCACAATGCAGTGCTAAAAATTTTAATCATATTTTTAATTTATTTAATTTAAAATGTATGACCTTGATCTCTTATTATGTGTCTTGCCCCTGTACATCATACTTTTCCTGAAAACAAAAGTCATGCCAGTCATGTATGTAATTCTGTTCTGAGGAAAATTTTTGAATTGAAATCATATGACTTCTAATCTATACTGGAAGTTCATATATAGTTAATCTGGACCTGCTGCTCCTAAGCTTTCCACATCTGATCTATCTAACATTTTTCTTGAGATTAAGGAAGGGCAGACAGACGACAAATGAATTTATAGGTCTACAATTTTTTCAAACTACAGCCCAATAACAATTATACCAAGGATTTACTAATGGATTTTATTGATTTGACCTTTAACAGCTCATATATTGCTTGGCTTGAAATAACAAAATGCAAGTTAAAGCATATTATAAAACGATAATTTATAAAACTTCTGAGATTTTTGATTATTACTGATTCTTTAAGTATCTGTAGGCTGGAGTAAATTGAGAAGACGACTGGATTTGGCCAGTGACAGCAATTGGAGCAACTGATTTATCTAACTGATCAGAACTGGTAGAATATTTAATAATAATGCTATATACTTAAAAGAATCAGTAATAAATAATTAACATCAATGCAAAAAGAGGATACAATTGGAATTCTGAAAAATATTAACTGAACTTGTCCATATATATTACTAAATTTCAAATTACAATGAATTTTAAATTTTTATTATATTTGTCAACTTAGACATAAATTATTAATAGGACTGTTAAACTGGTGTTAAGTATTAATGCAAAATTAAGCAAAATCAAAAAAGTTTAAGTTTGTTACGTGTTATATATCAAATCTTAAGTCGATTTACACAAATGAAAGGAATTTTAATTACTTCATTAAATATAATTTATTTGTAAGTAGTGAACAAAAAATACATAAAATTGTTTTTATAGAAATAAAAACATATTCATTACTACACTATTAATATCACTGCTATGAAAAACATGTATTTTGGATAGAATCTTTGCCAGAAACTATTAGCATAGTCCTACAATTGTACATTTCTGTACAATAAAAAAAATTAAGAAATCCAGTCATAAGTCCAGAAATGATCCTTTACAACTTATGCTCTTAAAATTTAATATTATGTACAAGCCACTTAGTAATGCAGGACTAAAATCAATAAACATTTAAAAGTAAAAAAATTTGGAACAGATTTTTTAGCATTTAAACTTGTATTTGTTAATATATATTTGGTATAAATGCAACAAAAAATGAAAACAACATGGAGTTTCAAAATGTAGATAACACATAAAAAAAATTTAAAAATTAATAGAAATCACAGAGATATATACTCTGATAAGGCATAATTTTTGGGTGTTTTCCTTATAAAGTATCCTCTCATTATTTTGCTTCTTTGGATATATCACATTTGTTTGTCTTCCAAATGAAAAAGCACTTTAGCCAATAATAAATGTATACATCTATATTGTCATCTGATATATTGCTCATTTGGTTTGTCTCCCAGCATGTACAATATAATGAGGGGCTACTGAATTTCTGACCACAAATTACACATTACCAAATATTTTTCTGGTTTGGCAGGTTTTTATTTTCGACAGGTTTCGCCGTATAAGAAAAATTCCGAAGCAAAATGTCTCTAATCAATTCTGGGCCTACAGACTTACAGACTATAGTAATTCTAGAGTTACTTTTAAATATAACCTACAACTCTTGCAGGATGCCAAAGTCCTCTAGAAGAGAAAATTGTATACTTTGTAAACTTTATTGTCTGGTCCTTTACCATGTCATCACCACAATCTGGTTCACCATCCAAATCTCCCAGGAAAAGATTTGGGATACTTTATAAACAAATTCATAAAATGTAGAATAAATACTCACTAAATATAATATATCAATGTACTATATACAACAACAATTATAATAGTTGGGTATTACAAACTTTGAACTTTTGCAGACTATTTAGAAGCATGTATAAAGATTAACAACGAATTACATCATCTATCATATCGCAATAGAAAATAAATAAAAGCTGCAATAAACAGGATAAAATTTATTACATTATTACATTTAGATGCAAACATTAAAAAAAAGCTAAAAATATCTGTTCTATTAACTTTATTTATAGTTATTTCGATAATTTCTAATGATTAAATATAAAATTAAACAATTTTTAATGAAATCGATAACCATTGGAAGGTGGAAATTGATAAACAATTTCTCATAAGATTTTATCTTCTTAAAAGACTAGTCATATTACCCAAACAATGATCCTAAGAATCCTTGAGAAGATTTCAATTTTTTCTCTGCATCAGCAACTAGCTGCATAGCTTTCTGTTCGTTATCTCCCATCTTGATTTGTTTTCTACGTCGAATTTATTAAAAAGATCACACAGTTTTGACAACCAAATAACTTGCAGAAACAGACTGCAGCTGTTAACATCAGCGCCACCTCGAATAAAATCGAAAACATATCTTGGAAATTTTTTTGGGGGAGAGGGGAAATATATTGTAACTTAATATAATATATAAAATGCCCGTTTTTATAATTAAAATCTTAAAAAAATAATTAAAAAGTTTAGTTCTGCAAATATTTTCAGCTATTTCTTTTTAATTATAATTTTCAGTTTGTAGTATCAGTGCCAGCGCTTATGGTACTTTCGCCAATGCAGTTAGGCTTTCTCTTGTTTCTCGTTTCTTTTCTTTTTCCTTCCTGTGGAAACTAAGAGGGCTTTTTTTAAGTTTATCGTAGGTTCGGCTGGCTCTCAACTGGCCTGATAGATCACACTCGATAAACAACCGGAAAACTCGTAGTTTTACTCGAAGGAAACAAAAAAAAAATAGAAATTATTTTTAGGTCTTTTGTTATATACATACTGGTATATATGTATGTAAACAGAGCTGGCCTGAGCTATAAACACACCTGGCCGCAAAAATTTAGGGATGCCACAGTCAGCATCAGTTAAAGCCTTAAAGGATGACTAGGATACCAAAAACTCTTGGACCGGCCTTGTATATGAAGTACTGGTACCTAAAACTAATTTCTATCCAAAAGACCTAGGCATTAATGGAAAAGACCGTCCATAAATTGGTATGTTAATGTAGTTAATTACCACATAAATAGGAGCCAGCTTTACATAAAAGTCTTCCCGGGATGCATTTCCCTCGGCAGATCGCTCGCGTGTCGCGTTGCCGTAACCAAATAAATCAAGCCAATTCTAATGAGCGATTATTTATTGTGACATTGTCAAAATGCGGAGCTGCAACTTTTCGTCACAATGTTCTCAATTCTTTTAGTGGTGTCTTGCCCCTGTACATCATACTGTTTCTGTTAGTAATAGAGTCCGTTTGGGAAACTTTTGAATCAAAGTGACGTGACTTCTGGTCCAAACCAGAAGTTCATATATAGTTAATCTGGACTTTCTGCTCTAAGCTTTCCATATTTGGTTTCGATATTCATCTATCTAACTACTTTCTCGAGATTAAGGAAGGATAGACAGTCAGAGGGCAAACAGTGGAAATTTATAGGTCTACAGTTTTTTAAACTACAACCTAATAATTTTTCTATAAACTCGATATTTACGAGAACATACTTCCCACGTAGTTTGTAAAATCTGTTGCCAAATATAAGCACTTTATTGTCATATAAAAACAATTATGCTCGCATTTTGACAAGATTATTTTTGTTTTTGTATTTTTAATAGCACCGAAGAGGGGTTGGGAATATAAACCAACCCGAAATGCATTTGAATAAAAAATTGTTTTAAATAAATGTAACGTAAAATGTTTCAAATGTTTATAATAGACCATTATTAAATAGTAGTCGTTGAACATGCTCTCTTTCAGGAGGAGGACAAGTACTACTTTTGGTCGAATTACTTCGACCCCCTCCAGTAAGTCCCTTCTTTCTACCGGACCAGCTGTATGGTGGCATTCAAATAGGAAAATTACATAATACATGGTTGTCGGCCAGCACAATATATGATTCAAGTGGTTTTCGAGGATGCCGAGTTTAAATATTTAATCCATTTTTTGCGAAATTTGATTCGTTGACAGAATACCATTTGATATTCGGCTGTAAATGATAAAGTTTCTTAGAGTTAACATTAGGAAATATTTGAAAAATTTAAGATATATTTTCAATTCCTGTCTACTTGATTAATTAATGAAATTGTGCCATTTCTTACCATCTGAGTATCACGATAAACGTAGGCTGAAATAACCAAACTCATTATATGGTTTTCGTTTTAATGTTTGTTATATTATAGTATTTGATTTATATAACTGTAAAGGCTATCTTACGTAAAGGTTTATCACACCGAGTGACTAACCTAACACATTTTTAAATTCTTTATTCCTCTACTGTACACAATTCAAAGAATTTTTAAGATGTGTTTGATTGGTCACTTGATGTGGTAACTCTTACGTAAGATAACCTTTGTAATTATAAATTAAATACTATAATACTATATTATATTATAGGGTTAGAAGTACGAAATAATCTAATAATTGTAATCTTTGCTGTTATTTTTTGCCTGAGCAACATAGGGCTCATCTGCTAGTCAGCTTATATATTGACTAAAGATAGTTTCTATAAAATTGAAATATAACTTTTAAGTTATCTTCTTCAAATCATGTTGGAATGAAGAACCTAAATTTTCAGGTGTGAATTCCTGAAAAAAATAGTTTGAATTTATCTGAGTTAAATTTCTGTTTGCTTAAGTGCATTAGAAGATAAGCTATAGTTTTCCAATTATATTGTCAATACAATATAGAAAAATGCAAATGCACCTATTTATTTATTAAACAGATACACTATTTACAGAATGAGAAAATTAAGTACAAAACTTGTATACACAATACGTAGCAATATATAACAGCAATTTAAATTTAGATATTTAAAAACTTATCTCAAAATTATAAATAAATATTTTAAAATATTAAAAATTATTGTAATATTATATTTAAAAAATTTGTTTAATTTAATTTATCCACATCTTAAAAGTGGTTTGATAATAATAGTTGATAAGCTAGTATTCTGCAAACAATTTTAATTAAACGTTCTGGAATTTTGACAAATATAACGGACAATTAGAAAAATTCGAAGGTAAAACATTCCGTGTTAGTTGCCATTTTCCACTGGAAATCTCAACTCTTTTCCCTTAATTATGTGCACATAATTCTTAATTAGAAATCTTTCATCAAAATTAAGTCACATACATATTCGCGATTTTCTTGCAAGTTGTAAATGTTTTGGAGAAATTATACGTTTCCACTTATCTAACTGGTTCGAAAGTGGTGTAAAAATATGTCACTTCCCACCAGATTTGCTGTAGCCAGATTTACAGCCGTCAGAAAACACTTATTCCACATTTTCTTGTTTCTTTATCTCGCAAAAATAAAGTTGCAAAGATGCTCGAAAACGGTAAAACTACCCAGTGCCGGCCCGAGGCAAGTTTTAGGATGGAGCAAGATCCTATTATGGCGCCCCTCTTGGTTGTCCCTAATTTATACCCTTTAATTTTCTTTACCACTGAGGCGCCCCCTAAGACTTAGCGCCTGGAGCGGCTGCTCCGTTCGCCCTATGTTAGGGCCGGCTCTGAAACTACCTACCAACCAAATGGATAAACCGTATTCTTTTCGCCGCAAAGCGACTCGAGCGTTAGCTATCGGCAACCGAACACATTAAACTTCAATGGACGTCCGTTTTATTTCATTAAATTTAATACAGATTATACATTTTATTATTCATAAAGTGGTAAAGATTTTGGGGTGGTTGAGTTTTGTTGGACGTCCGAAAAAAGGGAGCGGGTTACGGAAACTTGAACAAACTGGGATAATGGGGAAAGCGGAGTAAAAATTTATTTTATATTTATATTTAAAATTTTTAAGATATCTAAAAATGTTTAAATTATTAATATTTATTTTAAATTTTTAAATATTAATAAATTATTAATTCTATATAGATATTGAAACTAAAATTTCATAAAATAAAGAAAAAAAAATCTATATATAAAGTATGAGAACATTTTCATTTTTATTATTTCTTGTATATTTTTAAATGGCGAACTTTTAAAAATTATTTATTAATTAAAATTCCGTTTGACCTATTAATTTATATTTGAACTTCCTGTCGTTTCCTCCAGGAGCGTTGCCATCTTTGTTTGTTGTATGTCGTCTGGCGGCCAGTTTGAGTTATGAAAAGCAGCCGAAGAAGAAAAGAATTTCAAGTTTTGAACGTAGCTTTAATTATGCACAAAGTTTCTTAATTATCTCTTAATTTTCCTACTTTATAGTTACTACGAAGGGGCAATATGACAACAAACGATCAAAATGCACGGCTTAAGATTAGGACTAAACGTCCTCTACGTGATCAGTCGTTCTTCCTTTATTTAAAGCACAGAAACATCGACGAAAGCAAATTACAGAAGTCTATTGAGCGTTTGGGTGGTAAAATGGATAAGTTTTTTAGTAAAGACATCACGTGTTTGCTAGTGGATGACGATTACGGCAGTCAATGCTCTGGTTTAGAACCTTCTACTTCACCTCAGATAATATCTCCGGCTACCGAATGCGAAAAATCTGGTACTCTGACTCTTTATTCACGAGGTTTGAGTCTCCTTCGACGTTCCAAGGGGAATGCCGACGTGGGAGATTCTTCTACCAACGGTTTTAGACCTAAACACACCGTTCTGGATAAAGCGCAGATGTGGGGCATCAAAATAACTCGCATTACAAAATTCATGGAATGGATAAAGGCACAGATGGTTAAGCAAAGGAACAACTATTTGGAAAACTCCAAAAGTAAAGACAAAGAAATTATTTCCTTATCGGCACCGTTTATTAAAATTGAAGATCTCGCCGGAAAATATCAATCGCAGTACAAGATGTTCGTCCGCCAACCCCGTCTCTTTTTCGAGGTCGGTTATTGTGAGAGTCCGTTCGACAGCTTGCCGGTGCAGCAAAACTGCAATGTGTTAAAAGACGATTGCTCTAGTCACGAACTTAATCAAACGAAGAGTGTTCTCGAAGTTAGGCCCGTGAAAGAAAAGAATAAAGTTCGAGGAAGAAACAAATATCTGAAAGCTGTGAAACCTCGGAGGCATCATTTCTGCGAATGTTGTAAATGTACATTTTATAATTTAAGTCATCATATGAATGAAATGGAACATCAGAAGTTTATTAACAACAGTAAAAACTATGATTGTGTAATAGATGTTATGAAATATTTTCCAAGTATAGAAGAATTTAAAATGAAAAATATTAATGCTAATTCTAAAGAAAAAATAATGCTGTAATTTAGTTTCCTAGTTAATGTGATTTCAAAGTTTTGTTGAAAAAAAACTACGTAACTATGAATAATTACATATGAAATTTGAAGAAAGCTTTCTAGTATTGAATTAATTTTATTGTAATATAAAAAAGAGGATTGAAAAACTTTAATCTTAAATTTGTCAGGAAAGTATTATATACATCATATTTATTTTCAAAACAAAATGTAATTATAATTAATGCTTCATTATTCTTTATATAATGGAGAATAACATGTACATTTACTTATATCTTTCTACATAACATACATACATATATATATATTTACACATACATATACTAAAGATACAAATTTAATATTTTTGTCATCTTCTAGTCCTGTTATATTTATTCTGATCATTTGTCTTTTATTAACAATCATTTATGTATAAAGTGGATATGTGATAATTTGGTTTTGGTAATATTCTTGCTAAAATATGTTAAATTGTAACAAAACTAGATAAAATTCTGTTTGAGCAATATTCTTATATATCAGTTAGATTTGTGTCTTGTATAAAATACTGTTTTGTGTCTTTTCTATTCTGTATACTGCAGATTATATTCTTAGACAGTATACTGTAAACTATTTGAAATGAATTATATTAAATGTGTTTCTATAACTTTCAGATTATTCATATTTATTTTAATTACTATATTTTATGGCATATAAAACAAGTTTTGTCAAAAGAAAGGATTAAAAATTCATCCTGCATCTTATGTGATCTCCCATAGGTTAATGAATTCCCCAAATGTCTTTTTAGTGGGTTAAAGATAACCTGTGTCTAGCCCAATTTTTGAATAAAACTATAATTCTTCAATTATTATAACATTATTGTTGTTAATTTTTGCTATAGCTAATTAAATTTTTCATTTATTTATGTCAAATATTTTAATGATGATGACCTTTTAAACACTTTTTTTTCCCTGATATATAAGTGTGCACTCTAATTTTACTTTTTTTTAAACCAGCAAATGTACATGTTACAAAAAAAAATGATTTGGGGCTGAGTGTCAAAGTTGCAGTATGGCTTAAATACACTAAATACTTTTACCTAAAGCCTTCCAGTGGCCAAATGAATAAAACCACTGAACACCAGTAGTTGGTTGTGGAGTTTGCATCTCATCAATGGGCTTGCCAAGTGGAATTTTCTTCATGTTAGTGACATCTAAATAAGAGCCAGTTTCTCATAGAAAGTCCTTGGCAGCTGGCCCATGTGTTGCATTGCCTTAAATAAGGAAGCCAAGCCTTTTTTCTTAAATAGTTGTGTTGAAATGTGAGTGTCTCTGATACATCTGTTCTTATGCACTTATATGCTGTAAAATATGTTAATGAAATTAATACCAAAAGACTTAATAAGAGACCTTATGAACTTGCAGCTGAACTTGCTTTCGAGAATCGACAAAAATATCGGCAGCACGGTCCTCTAGCTTAATATAAACCTTAATAATCGAAGGAAGCAGATACTATGCATCCTTATATCTAAAGCTATGTATTTATGTGCAGTGATCAAGTGTGGTAACTCTCTGTACTTATTATTTTTAGATATTTCTGTAATTTTTATGATTTTTATACTTCCATTGCAATGTTAAAGATAACGTCATAAGTTGCAACGGATTATAGGCTAATTCAAAAATATTTGAAAAGCCTGTTCGTTTTTTGTGCATTTGTACTAAGCGTTCGATTTTTACAGTTTTTTATTTTGCTTTCTATTATTTCTTTTTCTTGAGAAAGGTCATTTAACATGACCGAAAACGTTTGGAAGTAATAAACTTCGGTTGCAAGTTCATAAGGTGTCTTAGTAAGTCTTTTGGTATTAATAGTATGCAGTCTCGAACAAATTGAAATTAATACAATAGCAAATACAAATTATGCTTTTAATTAAAAAATTTTAGGTTACTAAAAATTTACTTTTTAATGAACTTTATCTTTTTATTAATGTTTTTAGTTTGTAATAATGGTACAATTTAACAATAGATTCAAATTTATAGAAAATTTTTTGTGGTATAGAAAAAGGATAAGGGACACACTACTTTTAATTGTATTAAATAAATAAATAAAAGCTTTTCTATAATTTTTGAATTTATAACTCAGAAAAATTATAATAATATAATGAATAAAATGGCATAATAATGATCTAAAAGCAATTTGAACTTTTGAAATTTGAGGCAAATTTGAATTTAATAATAGTATTAATTAATATTGAAAATTAGCATATATCTTTAATTATTGGTACAGTTTGTAGCTTTGATGTTAGTTTAATAATACAGCTTAGATATAGATAAATTATGTTTTTATTTTGTTTAAATATTAAGTATTTCTTAACAATGCAAATGGTTATTATTGTTTATTTATAGCACAGTAAAATATTATATAATTGTTTTTACAATATTTGAGTTACTTAAAGTGTTAAATACAAAATACTTATTTCATGATGTCCCAAAAATATAGATAAGTTTAAACTTTGAGCAATAGTTCATAACATAAATTGATGAAAATTGTTTTAATATGAAATAGAACTACCATTATGCCTAATGACTTAAAAAATGAAATTAGACATTGATTTAATTAAATTTTGTAAGATCTCTGGATCCATTTGAAAGTAGCACTCAGTGATTTCTTGTTTAAGCTCTGAAACAGTCATAAAATGCATTATTACCATAAATTTTTCAAGCAAGAATGACCCACAAGTTCTCATTCGGATTAATGTCTGGTCTTCTTGCCAGCCACTTCATAACTTGAATATTATGATCTTCGAATCACTTAGTTGTTGAGAGTGAACAGTGAATACTGGCATTGTCCTGTTGGAAAATCCAATCAGGTACTCCAATTTCTTCCCCAATAGGTAATAAATTCTTTTTTTGGATTTCTTTATAACTTTTAGATGTCTGTCTACCAGTTAAAATAACTAAATTTGATAAACCATTAAATCCATAACAGAACCACACCTGTTGCCTGCTGATAAATTGCTCTTCTTTCCTAATATCATGCCAGTAATTAAGCCACCATCCAAATTAAATTTCTTTTCATCTCTGAACAGGACTGAGAGTCATTCCACAGTATGTTGTGACCTTTAGCACACTGCTTTTTTGCCAATTTGTGTTTTGTTAGTGATGTTTTTTCATCAAAGCATCAAATTTCATATGTGGAGATGCTGAATTCTTCAATGAACAGTGCTTTTGATATTTTTTATCCACTTTCACACACAATTTGAAGAACTGATCTATCCTGTTGCGATGCAAGATTCACGATTCAATTATCATTCCTTTGAGATGTGATTTTGGGCCTTCCTGATCGATGTTTAGAAGGTAGTGGTGATGATTTTTCCTAAATTTTTTAATTTTCAGGTGTAGATCTGTTCATTAAATCAGCAATTTCCTTGACACTACAGCCTTCTTCTTTCCATATTCATGCGATTTCTTCCATAGTAAACTCTCTCCTGTGTGATTCAATATTTAAATTACTACTTGACAACAAAGTAAAAGTGTTGTGATATCATTTATTTTTATTTTTGTAATTTTAAGTTTCTTATGCTTCAAATTTTGCAATTTTGTTTTATTATCTATACTTTTGGGACACTAATTTGATACTTGATGCTATTTCTGCTTTTTAACAGATAATGTAAAGTTTTAGGTGGTGGTAACATTCATTAATGAGATTAAAGAACATTAATTAATTGATATCAATTCTGACAATCATGTCTGAAGAAATCATTCAATTTGTATTAAATACTGTTTTTTAGATATCAAATTTTAACTCATTTCAATGTATTATTCAATGACATATATAAAATCTTATCACACATGTACTGTATTGGTTCTTTTCATAGAAACATAGAAAGCATTTATCAGAATTGCAAGAATTATGTAGTGCTCTAGATGAAATTTTAAATTCCATGTTTAAGAGTAATAAATACTAAACATTATTTCATTTCTTATGGAAAATCTGAAATGTTTAAAGCTCATATTTAAGTGAATAACTCATTAAAGAAGACCAGTTTATATTTCATTACTTTTTTGAAAATTGAATAAAATTACTATAAGCATATCTGTTATTTACAGGAAAACCTGTGTAAACCGGTCTTCTACAGAACCAAATATTTTTTCCAGTTCCAGTTTGAAGTCACGTGAATTCAAAAATTTTGCCCCTAATTGCGTTACATAGATGACCAGTATAACACTATTGTTATCAGGAAAAGTGTGATGTATAGGGGCAATACTACAAATTTGAGATGGAGAACACATAAATTAAATTAATTAAGAATAAGATTAAAAATAGCAGCAGAAAATATAAATAATTGCTTCTTTCCAGTTAGAATCAAATATATTTATATTTTCCATATATGAATATTGAATTTTAAATGTCTGCGGAAAAAATTAAAATCAATCATTCAATCATTTCTGAAAGTTTTGTAGGGAGATTTGTGTATTAGGAGGATTGATGCCCTTAAATTTCAATTGTTAAAGGTCGAGGAGGTGAGGAGATCAAGGGTGGTCGTGTGTCATATCTCGAGTGGGGTCGGACTTACTCGCGAAGATTTACTCGTTATTAACATATATATATATTTAAAAATAAAACTCATCTCTACCCTCAAAATTAAGCCTTTTGCTTTTGTATAATAATAATAATAATTTTTCTATTAATTAAATAAAATTTCATAACATGGGGCCACACACAATTTTAACTTTGAGCTAGTGTCTTGGTTTTTTTTCAAACCTAAATATAGTCTATATTTTTTTTTAAATAGAAAAATTTTTGATAATTCAACAAAATTACTTCTTTTAAGCTTTTCTTTTTTTTTTAATTTTATATTGTAGTATAAATGAAAATTATCGGACTTCCTGATCCCCTTAACCTCCTGTTCTAGTGCAAGAAAGTCAAGCAAGACCCCTTGCGTTTTTGATGATAAAAATAATTAAGTTGAATTTTTTTAAACCTCCGACCTGTGGGCACTAAGAGGACATTTTGTTTTTATCAAGCTCGTCGTGAGTTCAGCCAAATTCACATTGGGGCGACCGGGTGGTAAAGGACGGGGCCAGACATATCCGGTTAGACCAGGGGTGGCCAACCTTTTGCATACAATGCGCCAATTTTCTGACAGACGAGTTCAGATGCGCCATATAAATCGGACACTTTATACAGTCTTACGTTCAATGTTAGGGGTTGATAAATAGAGATAAGAATAAATCTGCTTCGCTTAGGGGAGAAAAGGGAATAACTTAATCACGCAGTTAAATTAATTAATAAATTAATTAATTCAACTGCTGACAGTTTATTGAAGCACCAATTTACAATAGTCAGCAATGATC